TGATAGTTTATGTGTTTTTCACAAGTTTTAGTCAAAAAATTGGAAACTTTGATGTCTGTTCATGTTGTTTTACTTGTTTTTGGTTATACATAATAGGAAATAATAGGAAATTAGATGCGGGTTCTGGACCCAATCCAACCCACCTGACCTGCACCACCCTCAAATGCAAGGAGGGTATGGTTGAGGAGGGTTTTACATTTTCATGTGTGGGGATGGTTTGGGGAGGGTATGGGTTGGGAGGTCTAGGGAGGTGGGTAGGGTCTAGAATTTACAAAACACTCCTTGAACCTGCACCGTTGCCATCCTTGCTAAGAAGTTGTTTAAGTATCCTAATTTCTTACACATCATTTCCTATAACTACAATATCATCAACGTAGACTTTAAGGATAGTCACTAAAGCATCTCTCCTTTTCACAAAGACAATGTGATCTAACTGGGTTTGTATTTGACCAAATCCAACAGAAGCATTTTGGTATCTCTCAAACCAAGCTGTTGGAGATTGTTCGAGCCCTTAGAGAGGTTTTTGCAATCTGCATACCTTTTCTTGCATCTCCTTGCTATACATCCATGGAGGAAGAGACATGTAGACTTCTTCGTGAAGGTCCCCATTCAAAATGCTTTTTTTTTTTAATTTTTTACATCAAATTGATATAAGGGCCATGAAAAGGTGGTTGCAAAGGAAAAAAGAGAACACAGGCAAAATTCATTTTGGTTGTGGAGGTAAAAGTCTCCAAGCAGTCAATGCCATACAACTATGCATACCTTTTAGCTACAAATCTAGCCTTATACCCTTCAATAGATCCATTTCCATGTTATTTGATTGTGTACACCCACCTGCAACCTCTGGGCCCTTAGCTTTAGTCAAATCAGCAATTTCCCATGTATTATTTTTTTGCAATGCTTCCATATCAGTTTTCATATCATCCTTCTATTTGGGTTTAGACAATGCTTCTGATATAGTTTTAGGGATGGACCAAGAAGAAACAGAGTCTAAAAAAGGAATAATGTGAGGGTGTCAACAAGTCATATGAAAGATGTTTAGAAATACAATGAGCAGTGTACTTATGTTTGCCCTTTCATACAACAACAGGAGGATCAAGGTCATGGAAAGAAGGTGAAGTTTCTGTACCTGTACCCACCGTCACTTCAGTAATTGGTGGTGCAGGAGGCTTTGTTGATGAAGGGGGGACAATCTACTCATGCTTGTTCCTTTGATAGACCTGCATTGGTTGGGTGGTAGATGGAGAAAGAATGGTAGGAGGGTCTGTAGAAGGACTAGAAGGAGAGGTAGGATGAGAAGAAGGGGCAGGAGAGACAGGAATTGCAGAAGACTCAAACAAAAGAAACATCCAAAGGAATTGACGAGGACGAAATAGGTGCTGGGAGGGGATGTGAAATAACACATGATTTTGAAGGGGTATGAAATAACCTATGATTCTCCCTGTTAGAAGGAATGCAATAGAAAGGGAGGAACTCAACAAAAGTGACATCCATGGAAACAAAATGTGTGCCACTAACAGGATCATAACAATAATAACCCTTTTGTTTGGAGGCATAATGAAGAAGATGTATTTTCTAGGCTTGGATTTAAACTTGTGTCTCTGAGAATTGGGGATATGGACATAACAAGTGCAGCCAAATACTTGGAGAGGAATAGAAAATGAGTTTTCATCTTTGAAAAAAAGACAAAGGAAACTTAAGATCAAGAACTCTTGAGGGCATACAATTAAAATATATAGATCGTTCATATGATATAAATGGGAATTATTTATGATACAAGGGGTAATCGTACATATATTACCAATTGGGTATTTTCTGAACGGAGCCTGGATACTTCATTTTATTGGTCCTACCAAGCCAATCATAAATTGTTCTAAATTGATAATATTAATACTGATCCCCCAAAGAAATTGATCTAATTGTGCTTCACGCTCCAAATAATTGATGGTTCAATCAATCTTATACATCAGTAAGAATAGCATCTCCTCAATACTTCACTAGAACATGAGATGTAAATAAATTGTATCTTTAACAATGTGTCGATTTTTCCTTGTAGTTACCACATTTTGTTGAAACAAAAACTTTGATAAACAACTTTAACAATGTCATCAAAATATTCTTTTGAATTATTGGATCTGAATAATTTGATGCTGGTATTAAATTGAGTAAAGAATAAATTCATGGAACTGTTTAACTAACTTAGAAACTTTATTGTGAGAACGCATCAAATGAGTCCAAGTGTATCTAGAAAAATCATCTGTAAACAAGAGGACATACTTATAACCACCCATGGAAAAAATCATCAATATACAAGAGAGTGTAAATGGCTCAACCCCCACACATCATAGTACAAAATACTAAAAGGAAACTTGGTTCTTTTATTGTTTAAAGAATAAGAATATCTACTATGTTCTGATATTTGACAGGACTCACAATGTAGACTAGATAGACTAACACTCTCGAAGCCTTAAACAACTTAGGAAATATCAGACTTCAAGAAGAAAAAAGATAAATGACCAAATAAAAAATGACAACATAATTTGATCGAAGGACTTAGATACAATAGATTCTAAAGCCCCCCATTGTGATTGTAGTTGTTTTTTCTTAGGCACATCGAGTAGATATATCCCATTTGTCTCATGACCACTATAAATCACTTTCTCAGACTTAAAGTCCTAAAAAACATAGTAAGTAGGAATAAAGTTTATACACCAGTTTAAGGATTTAGTTAAACTATTAATAGAAAGCAGCTTGGTTTTAAGTTTGGGGACATGAAGGACAAAGGGTAGGTTAAGGGTCTCAGTGGCTCTAATGTCTCCCTTTCAAGAAATGGGAGCAAGAGAACCATCGGTTAGGGATATTTTGTCTCTGACTAGGAAGAAGCTGGTAGGTAAAATGTATTGGGAAATCAAGAAGCAACATGCCCATAGAATGAACATGCAGAGATGAAGATATTTGAGAAAGGATGAGTGAGTAGGTGATTAACCGGTAGTAAATCTTAAGATCCAATAAGTGAAGAAAAAAAAGAAAAAGAAAAAAAGTGGTCCAGAAAAGTGGAAGGGAAGAAGGAAAAAAAGAGGTTTGGGGAAGGAGTCATGGCTGGTTCCTGGCCACTATCATTGATATATTTGAACCACTATAAATAAGTGTAATTACAAGAATGCCCTTAAGAGGGTGGCTGCATGAGAAGAAATAAAAGAGGCCTTGTAATCCCCTTATACTAAAGCCCATCAACATAAAAAAAATTGCCCCTAGGAAATAAGGTGGTCTCTTAGCCCAAATAACTCAACAAGGAGAAAAACTAGAAAGAGCAAAATGAGAAAGTTCATTTTGGAGAACCTAGTAGTTGTCCAATAGGTGATAAAAAGAGGAAAAATTGACCAGTAAGAGGAGTAGTCTCATTTGAGTTTATGGTTTTAAAAGAGGAAAGCATGAAAGCAATTTTTGAGGACCTGGGGTAATGAGTAATGATCTAGGTCTGGAAGTTTGATGGACATGGCCTTTAAAAAATGGAATAGAAAAACAGGATGCATCCAACTCATATAGTTAGGAATTAGGATAAGACTCACGATTTCGTCTCCTTAAAAGTGAAACATGAATACATGATGGCGTAATGTTCTTTGTATGTAGTTCATAGAGAAATAGAATACAAGATGGCCTCCTCTGGGCAGTGCGGTATTCCCCATCTATGTTCTTTTGCATCGAGTTTGCAACACCAACATTGGTGCTGTAGGGCTTCTTGTTTTTGCTCTTTCTATGACCTTCCTGTGGTTTGTGATGATATATGTCTCTTCTTTGCCTACTCATAGAAAGCAACAGAGGTATGGAGGTGGTCTCAAATCAAACAAATAAAGCAAGAATGTCAAACTAATCAAATAGAATCTAACGTAGTAACATAGCCAACTTTAGCTGTGGTCAAATCATTTATTTCCTCATGGATTATTGATCTACCTGCAATTTCCCTTTTAGATGAATTTAGGGCCAAACCTTCTTCCAAATTTGCCACAATTTCTATACATAGTCTTTTTGGAAAATGAAATCTATAATTAAGTTATCAAAACAATGGGAAAGGGGTTACATTTCCATTAGCAAAGAATATATGCACATGGCACATGGAAGAATAAGCTTAAACCGCTATTAAAAGGAATGTGTTTTTAGTTTTAAAGGTAAGACCCTATTACCTTTTTTTAATTTTATTATTTGGCTGAGCTCATACAGCACAAAAAACTTGCAACTAGAAGCCCCAAAGTAATTGACCTAAATATAAAGTTATAGCAGCTCAACAGGGCTGAACGTGCTCAAAACAGGCTAGACCTGCCCAGAAAATACCAGCAACTTTAATAATGGTAGATTGCTGCTGTTTCATTAAAGAATGACATGGGCTTTTCTCTCTTTTGTTGGATGAAGATTGCTGCTGTTTCGTAACTAGATTTATGTCGTGTCTTTGTTTCTTTAGTGCAGTTGCATTCAAAATTTTCTTTAGTGAGGATCCTTTTCCATAGCTTTGGACTTATATCATGATTGTTTAGAATTGCAGTTATTAATTATAATGATATTGGAGCCTTGGAGGTGAATAATTTATCATTTTGGTTGGCTACTCAAATTCTGTCCTGCTGCTGTGCTCTATCAAGAGCCATGTTGTGTTATTTGTTTATCATTTGATTTGGTAAATGCCATGCTACATTATATATTATGATATAGCCTGTGAGTACGGTTGTTCGATCATTCATGAATTAATTTAAGACTATAAGCATCTTAAGAACAAATTCCATTTTTTTCTACCAAAAAAATAACAAAATCTAACTGAGTTTTAACAATTTTTAGCACTAGAGCCACTTAGATGACAAGATTGTGGAAGATGAGCTCTACCACATAATGGAGAATATGGAAATTTCTTTCTAAATGATTATGTCCAGGTTTTTTCTTACCGGCATCAACGGTTCAGTCCTTCAATTTTTAGTGTAGAAAAAATTAAATGGATTTATGTTTTTGACTATTAGGTTAGGATGAAGCTTGTGAAGGATTGGCTACCAGTGCTGATTGTTTGCAAAGACAACAGCTCACCAATGCTGCCCAGTCATAAATCACTGTATCAAGAACTGGAGGAGACATTCCTTGGGATAATCTCAACATTGCCCATGTCTGATGCACAGGGGTTGCTGCCACAGTGCCTTAGCTTCTCCACCCGTAATGTTGAGGACTGCCCACACCTGGTCTCAGCCTTCAACACATGGTTCCGGCGAGCAACTCGACCACCACACAGTTTTGATTGAAAAGGATGGGATGGTTTGTTGCTCTTGTGATCATCTACTGCCGTGTGGAGGTAGGGAACATCTGTTCTGGAGTATTGCATTTAGAACGAAGTAACAAAGACCAGAAAACATTGTGTCTATTCAAACAGTGTTGCAGAAGAAGCAAACTACTATGTACGTTGTAGTATATATTGTGCATATTAAAACTTTTTTAACAGTAGATGTTGTTAAAAGGTAGATGGACATTCAGTTTCCCACTGTTACTGAATACTGACACTTGCAACCTTGCCGAGGAATAGTAAATTCCATTTTCATAATAAAGAAAGGCAGATGGAGTTTCATATTCATCACTTGTCTTTTTTCTCGGTTTGATTAAATATAGCACTCTGATACACAAATAAATGCGATTCTGTTTCTATTAGTAACAATCAATCAATGTATTGCGTTCATAACTGCGTCTCGATACAGAGAGTTCAAAGAAATGCTACCACCATCTCTTTTGACGTTGATTACTGAAATATGTCGTTTCCCAATCATCATCATCATCATCGTGTATGCAACAGCCAAGATGGTCGTTCAACCAAGAACCACGCTATGCTTGACCTTGAACTCTTGATAATCGTGTAAATTGAGCATCCGTTGTTGGATTAAGCATTCAATTACAATTGGTAGCTTAGGGGCCTTTGAACGATGCTTCTTAAAGTATGGGAATGAGTATGGAAAAAAGGCAAATTTAAGAAACCTATGGGATACACTCTGTATATGCATAGACACGATGAAAAAAACTTGGGATTGGTTAGGGAATTCTAATAAATTTAAAAGAAATTATACAAATTATCAATAATTAATTAAGAGAAGTTTTGCCAGAATTTCTATCTATGTATCAATGCCAATAAATTTTCAAATATTACTATTAATTAATTAACAAAAGTTAATAATAATTAATTGGTTATCAAAAGTAAGCAAAAACTATTTACATTACAAAAATATTAGTAATTAATTAACACAAAATGGGTTAGTTAATTTAGACCAAATTACTTTTTTTACATGTTAGATTATTTGTTTTGTTAATTATTTTAATTTTAAAATGGGTTATACTTGCTTACCCCGTCTTTCTCTCCTCGGTGGATGGGTTACATCTACCATGTGGTAGAAATAGAGTATAGATTATATAGGAACCTTCCATAATTGACTTATAGGAATCCTTTCTTGTATTTGTGTTTCAATCACCATTTAAGGCACCAGTAAGAATTGATCCATCACAAGTTAAGGGTTTAAAAGTCCAACATTTTATTATGTTGATAGAATTTGTGGTTTAAACATATGCACATTAGCTATAGAAGTAAAATTCTATATAAATTAAGAAAAAAAAAACCAAGTAGATTAACTTTTCTTACAAAATATTATTTTCTATCCATCAAAAACTTGCAAACATTCAGAGCTCTTTTACTTGAGTTTCACATAACAAAACCCGTGCATTGCACAGGGTTGAATTTCTATAACGGAACCAAAAAATTACAAATAAAGAGTTTTGACCATTCCACCTCTGTCACGTATCGTTAGCACTAAGAACCGATACGCAGCCGATACTTTAAATCCTGGACTGAGACCCCGATGTTGTGATGATACTGCAAAACTTGTAGGTTCTACATCTATAAAATTATTAGTGGACACAATCTTCATTTTATGCTCAGCTCAGCTCAGCTATGATCAATTCCAGTAACAAGTAACAAATTAATACAGATTTTTTCATTTGGTAGGCCACAAATTCAGAAAGAGTTAAATTCGTCATTTTATTCGTCTGTCCCTTCTTGTTTAACAAAAGTAGAGTTAATTTGGCTTCATCAATCACATATAAACACATTATACAGATAGAGAAAAAGTGAAAAACCATCAAAATAAAAATTCCTAATCAGCAAAAGCAACTCGGAAGACTCTATCAAGGAATCACAGACTACCAAGAAACACCAAAAGTACAACAACATAGTATCCGATTTGCATCTTTCTTCTTCTCTTACTTCCCCCAGATCTTCACCACCCCTGAACAGGCCACCTCTTCTCTGGGTCCGGCAGCCATGAAGATCGGTTTTTCTTTTTCTTCTTCTTCTTCTTCTTCTCCTCCACCTTGGAAGTGCTCCCAGTGTCAACATCTTCCTTGGCCTCCTCACCTCTGCTGCCGTCAATACTATCAGCCCCACTGTCAGTAACGCTCTCAGAATCACCACCACCACCACCGTCGCTTTTCCCCGGTTTGCAGAGGACACGGCTTAGAAATTTCCAGGCTTTCTTCTTCTTGGGGCGTGCTGCGGGGGGTGCAGGGAGAGGGTTAGTGCATTCATCATCGTCGGCAGCCCTCGCAGGTGGAGAGAGCTTCTCATAGCTGGTACTTCTGGCACACTCCAAAGAGATCGACTCGGACACGAGCATAGAGCTGTTGCCTCCACCTCCGCTCTGTTTGGTGGAAGAAGACGCTGAGCCTGAAGATCCTCCTCCTGTCTCAAAGCTTCCATGCGTCTCCATCTTTTCTATTCTGATTTTGACGTCGAAAAGAAATGGTGGCGAGAGATGAGAATGGGATTGGAGGAGAGCGTCGAGTCGAGGCTGAGACACTCTCTTCTTTCCTCTGACTGTGATCGTGCAAATCTTGTGGTAATAGTTAGTTAGTAGTAGACCAGTACCAGTAGTATATTCTCTCTCTCTCTCTCTGTTTCTTACGTTTTACTCCTCCCTGCTGTGACGAGTTTTTTCGAGTGTGGGATGGAGTGCTGGCGTTGAATTTGACCACTCGGGCGAGTCCGCACTCGGTTTTTAAAGGCAAACCCGGGTGTGGCGCACGCGCTCCATGCGCCAAGGGCCATAGGATCCCGTGTGATCTAAAGTTGAGATCATGAAATGAGATGCAGCGCCTGGAGACCGTGGCCGCCTGGGTCCAGTCTGGGACCGCAGTTGCATGTGCGCCGTGGATTCCGGATTCCGGCCCACCCCGATTCCGATTTCCAGTTTCCAAGTGGATCTCTGAGTCATGTAGTTGCTCTATCCTCAATACCCCCATGGCCCACTAGCCCAGCCCAGCCCAACTTGATTATTAATATAAGGGGATTGATCATGATGATCCACGTGCATCCATTAACCTTTGACCAACATAAATATAAAACTATAATGCTAAAGCATACTATTATTTATTTATTTTCCCATTATCTATATGCATGCATTACTCTTACGGTCTTACTTTACTAAGATTTAGATATATACAACATAATAAAGTTGGCTTTCTTATATGATCAACTTGTCATTGACTCATCCGGTTGGACCGGTCATAAACTATGATTGTGGTTCTACTTCTCATTAACTTATAATCCACTTAAATAATACAAGATATGCATAATCAATTTGTCATAGACTATGATCCGTGTGATGTATGGACTTTGTTAAGTTTGCTCAATATTTTTTGATATATCTATATATTATAAACCTATTCTATTTAGAAATTGAGGTACAAAGCTCAATATACCCAAGCCCAAGCCTAGCCTAGCCTAGCCTAAGCAGGGATGGCAACAGATTAGGTTCGAGGAGGGTTTTTCTTTATAATGAATTCATTTATTTAAATATTTAAATAAAATGTAAAATATTTAAAAATTTTTGTTATTTAAATTTTATTTATTTTAAAGTTATTACATAATATTAAATATTTTTATGTAATATTTGTCTATTTTTAATATTTTTATTTATAACATTTAGTTATTGAAAATTTTAAATAATATTTTTTTACTTTTAATTTTTACTATTTGAGTAATATTTAAATTGAATAATTTGTAAAATTATAATTTATATTGTTAGTACATAATTTCGTTATGAATTTCATAAAAAGTATAAGATTATTAATAATCTGAATATTATCAAATCTGCCATAATTTTTTTGTGTTTTTAATAAATATTTTAAAATTATTGCATAATTTCATTATAATATTTAAATAATATTTAAATTTTTTTAATTCAAACTTTCTTTTGATAAAAAGTGGGGGATAGGATAGAGTCCGAATCTCCTGCCCACGAAAACTCTGCCCACATTTATTGCAGCCATACATGGAGAACATCTCATCCTTTTCATAGTATTATGCAGGGGGAGATGTTCCCAATTCACGGGGGTAGGTATTGTGGGTAGGCGTGGGCAGAGTTCTCGTGGGCAGGAGATCCCGACTCTAGGATAAATAGGAATTAGAGATAATTTAGAAGAGAAACTCTACTAAATTAGAGATAATTTAAGAGATAAATAGGAGTTAGAGACAATTTAGGAGAAAGTGGGGGAAAGTGGTGCTACTTGGCTAAACATTAGATAATCAAATCCTCTTTATTTATGGTTGTTAGAAATAGTTAAGCTTATGTGATTTCCTTATTGGCTTATTGGGTAATTATGTGGAATTAAAAAAATAAAAAATTCAAAAAAAGAAATTAGGAAGGGGGGTCTAGAGCAAGGAGAGGTAAGGTGACGCGGATTGTATATATATATATATATATATATATATATATATATATATATATATATATATATATATTAGGCTCCGTTTTAGAACGATGCAAATAAAGTGTGAATACAAATATGTAGAGTATAAATCGGTTCATATAAATGCAAAATTAGGTTTGTTTTGTAATAACAAATTTATCTTCTTATCAAACAGACTTTTATCTGTAATGGATGTAAACATGAATGCCAATAAAATATATGCCTTTTTTAACAAAAGCCCACATTGAATGAAAATTTACTTCTTTTTTATCGATATACATTTGCATCTCATTTTGGATGTAAACATGCATTGAAAAATGTGTTTTCTTCCATTTGTCAATGCATAATTGCATTCTTGCCAAACACTAACAAAACTGAACCAAAGTACACATTTACCCTGAACTGGGATTTACACTCCATCTGCATCATTCCCATACAGAGCCTTAAGGATTAAGCAATGCTTTCAAGTGCTCAACAAAGAAAGTATTGCCTTTTAATTCGTTAAGGCTGTTCATGTTCTTTCTACGTGTTTGCTTATCTTTTCTATATAATGTTAGTATTTCTCTTTCCCTCATCTCAATGTCACATGAATTATCCCAAACTTGTATCATTTTGTTCCCCCTTCCTTTTCCCTCCCTCCTTATCTATCTATTTATCTATTTGTATGTTTATTTATTATTGGGATTCCATTCATATTTAACATCTTTATTTTTTTAGCAAAATCTATGAAGATGTGATTGATTGAATGCCATGTTAAGTAAACAGATTGGTTAAAATTTAGGTTTTACATGCAACCAGTATTAGTGAATGCATTGTAGTTGGGCTCTTATTTCTTAATTGTTCATC